CGAAATCATTAAAAACGTGTAATTACTTACTTAAGTAAATTGCTAAAAAAAAAAAATTGTAAAAAAAGAAAAGAAAAGAAAACAAAACTCGTAATATTGGAAAAAATAAATTTAATATTAATTGCCGATTGAATGAAAAAGTCAAGGTCTCAAGTAATTTCAAAAGTTTAGAAACGAATATGAGTTTTACATCGTGTATGCAAATAACTACTTTCAATGTAGTTTTTGGGTATTGATACGAATATCATAAAAAATGTTCCCATATTTATTGCTCTCTCTCTCTCTCTCTCTCTCTCTCTCTTTCTCTTTCTCTCTCTCTACTGATACATTCATAACTTTATGATACCATTATTTAAAGTACTTAGAAGAGTGCAAAGGATATAAGTAATTATAGTATGCAGCATATAATGAAGAAAGTAAAGTAAAGCGACAAAATCACAATTAACGTAGCTAGCTAAATTGCATTCTTTAAGAACGGAGGTTTATGCATTATTAAAATTACCAATGATTATTATTATTGGAACAATCTGCTGAAATTTATTGTAAATTAGTAAAGAAACAAACGTTGATAAAAAAAGAATCGCGTCTATATTCTAAACCCACCATATCGAAAAAGCAAAATGAGAAGCACGTTTACTTAATGCTAAATCGATTTATCTGAAATCTATATAATATTTATAAAATAATATTAGACAACAATAAAAGTTGGGATTTATTTTTTATTTCGCTAAATTATTTGCAATGAAACATTATTATTTTCCTTTAAATACTTGTGTTTTGTCGAAAAACAATATATTAAAAGGATCTTAAGGCTTTCGATTGATTTACCATAGATTGGAAATATAAGAGACAGCGACATATAGAATAGCAAGAACATCATCAACAATTACAATTAATAAGTAAAGACGTATTTGATTGCACGAAGGAAAGGACATGGAGAGAAAAATGTTTTTCCTATGAAGTCACTTGCTATCAAATTCGATAATGAAATTATTTACAAAAGCTTGTTTGAAATTCCATATATTCGTGTGTGTGTGTGTGTGTGTGTGTGTGTGTGTGCGCGCGCGCCGTTTGCAAAATGTTTACATCATATTTTTCAAGATTGAACCCCACTACCACATTTGAAATGACAGTAAAGCGACTTGGCCCCGAGCATATCATGTATTTTGCAATTTAACGAAATTGCGCGCCAATGTTAGAATTGTTATTATTCAATAAATAACCGATAGGAATCCCACCAGCGATCTCACCGTGTAGCGGTGCTGCTCTGAGCTTTTCGAGGGCGATGCTGCCAATACGCGAGGCGAAGCCACCAAAATCCTTTATGCGCTCAAGAGGCAGGCCGTACGTCTTAATCAGCTCGAGGTCCTTGCCGCTCACGGCCGTCCTCTCGAGGGCCGCGTGCAGGCTCTTCTGCCGGATTTCCCGGATTTCTCTGCAAAAGCTGTACATAGCCTCGTTGCGGCCGTCCAACTCCTTGGGCCGGAAGAAGCCAGCCGTCGGTTCATCCGCGCTCGGTGCATCCTTGTGCACTGCGAAAGGAGTCAAAACTTATTTCTCGGCGATTACTACTCGGCAACTTTCATTTCGAAATACATCGGATACAGTTTTAATGGACTAGTTTTTATTCGATTGAAGTGCATTGCTATTAGGTCAGTCGATTGCGCCGCGGTGATGCGAGTCTTAAATGTTTAATGAAACCGATTATTCATCAAAGTAACGTTCACGGACAATAATTAAGCTTATAATGTATTTTGAATATTTTCCGGAAATGTGCTGACAATTGCTCGAATAAATTTTTTTTTTTTTTTTTTTCCAATTATTAGGGAGCTCTATCGAATTATTATTTATAGCTCGCCTAAGCGTTACCTTTCAGCCATAAATCATTTACTTCCTGCATTTTTATATCGCTAGTATGGCGTTCCGCAAATTCAAACACTAATGTTCATCACTGTCATTGACGAGGTGAAAGATTCAAAATGATTCGCGCAGAAAAGTGAAAAATGAAAAAATGCATTCGAACAGCTTCACGGGCCCCCTTTCCTAAACCCAAATATCTCTCATTCGTCCCGATTACGTAGGTTTGAATTCTTCGAATTCGCAGTAACCGCAACATTATTCTACTGTCACCACAGTCACCACCACCGTCTCAAAGCTTCGACTTACGTTCGCTCCTCTGAATGACGTAATCCTTGGGCTTGTCCAGCGCCATGGGCATCTCGGGAGTGCCGGCGAGTTTGCCCCCGACCATAGCTACGTCCTCGGATTTAGCCGCGTCCATCAGATTGACAAAATTCTTACAAGGATGGAAGTTGGTGAGATGCGACAGGACCTCTTCGGAGTGTCCACTCGCGCTGCAGCAACTGCTGCTATTGCTGTTGCTGTTACTGCTGCTACTGCTGCTGCGGCTGCTGCTGCTGCTGCTACTGCTACTCTCGCTGCGCTCCGACAAGTCTTCGGCCATTGCCGAGTGGTCCAGCAATATCTCGTTGTTGTTCATCTCTGATCGACTCGCTCCTCTTTATACCAACTGTACGTTGGTGTCTTAGCAAAGCTGAACTTGTCCCCGGAGCCGTCGTAGTCGCCTCATACCTGCAGAGGCGGACTCGATGCTTCGTTATATGGCTGGACTTACTCTGTGTAACAGACTGATTATTATTATTTCGGTGGGTGGAATATGGCAATTTGCTTCTGTAAATGTATTTTGTAGGGAGGTTTGATGTAATTAAGAATGAACGAATGTCCATTGGTATCGAAAACTTTGACATTTACTAATTATGTTTTGACGCACGGTAATTGCAATCAGTAATTACCATGATTTATGAATTCGGCTAGCTTCGACGAGAGGTTTTGGAAAAGTGTTTTGAATTCTCGTGATGCTCTCGTTACAGTTGGAGCTCCTTTAAAGTGTAATTTCAAATCAATCGTAATATATTGAAGAAAATTTTTGGTTTTGGGCAATTAATATGAAGAATAAGTTCAACATGAAAAACATCGTGACGATAAATATTATTGTTCGAATTTAAACGAACTGTTATATGTTGATGATATTATTGGTTAGTGAGTTACGACGCTAATAGACACACCTCGTACTCACGGTACTATTTAGTACCGAAGTATTAAATTATAGATACTGCGTCGGAGAAAGAGGCGATACGTTCGTTAAATTGTTTAAAATATTGCTGATAATTGTGTTTAGTTTAGTATTATACGGCAATTGCCAATAGATAATAAATATTATTAGCCTTAAGTATTTGCTCGAATTTAGCCTGATAGATATTGTCGAGCAAGAGAAAAATCAAAGAATTGTATTGTAAAGGACAAAGCTAAGGATTACCATCGATGATAAAAAAAAAAAAAAAAAAAAAAAAAACCCTAATTTTCTAAACTTTATATCACAATTTTCATAATCTAAGTAATTGATTTGCTGTGTAATGAGCGCTGTAAATGTAATAAATGAAAAATGGAATGAAAGTTTCTCATACTGTGTTCAAATGGATTCAGAACAATAATAAAATATGACTACTATTTTAGAATTTATTGCAAGTCTTCCTACTTTGCACTTGTTAAAACAACTTGATGATATATGAAAAACTATTACTACATGCGGATGATAACGAAAGACTCTTGACACCTTATGGTTACTGTAAAAACTATAAAATATATAATCTCTATGTAAATTGATATTTGAATAAAAAAGAATTAGAAATAGAAGATCAATAGGCGGTCTTATTACTTAAGTGAGCAAATTGAAGAAAAAAAGAAATGTTTTCCAGGCACTAAAAGAAGAATGAAATTCTTAATCGTCCTTTCAGTTTATTCAATAATAGATTTAGACTTATTCCACATTACAATGCAAATAACTTAAAATTTACTTTTATTCAAAGTCGTAATTGAAAGATTTTCATTCAAATTAATTTCCATTGATTTGTAATAAACTACGTATACATTAATTACGAATGTCGAATATAAATGGCTTAAAAGCACACAAACGAACAATATATTTTATTGAACAATGGTAAACCAACAAGACAGTTTCTAATTTAACTTGATAAAAGACAGATAACTTTCATTTTACAATTTCATTCACTTTTTATGATATATATATATATATATATATATATATATTAAACTTTCATTCACTCTTTATGAGATATATATATATATATATATATATATATATATATATATATATATATATGTATTGAAATATTTCAATGAAACGAAAATAAATGATTTTCATAATTATTCGCACATTGCAACAATAATGATAGTACTTTGAATGTATTGTTATTTAAATTATAAAAATTCATGTTACCTATTGAAAATGTAATTTAGAATTTTTATAAAATTCGTCGGTCATACTGATGTAGGCTTTCTTCTCGATCAAATTCTATGAATTTCGAAATAATTAAAAGTATGCTTTGATATAATATTAATGCCTATTATTAATTATAAATAAACAATAAATATATAATCAGCTTTAACATCGTTGTAAATTTCATCGAGAAGACAGTCCGCAAAGACGTACTCAATTAGTCAATGTTTTTTAAAACTTTTTGGTCACTTTTTTTCTCATCAAAATGACAAAATCGTCCGAATAAAAATTTATTGTCCAGAATATATATGTAATGATTCAACATTTTCATTATAACTTTATGTAATTAAGTGTGAAATGCTCTTATAAAATATCAAACATAATTTCCTTTTGATTAAAAAGTATATTACATATAAAACGTATTTAAATGACTTTGAGCTTGCTAATACAATGATGAGTATTGTGTAGAAAATTTTGTGTAATCAATTGTTTGAATGCAGTTAGCCGAGCTTCAAGATCGAAACTTTTACTATAGCGCTAAGAATTTTAATCTACTTGTTAATTCTAAGCCATAAAATCTCTGCGCTCGTGATTTCAATTTAACATCTAAACAAAATATTCGCTCGCTCTACCAATTCAATGATATACATATATTTATACATAAGCGTGCAATAATCGAGTAAATATTGTCAATAGGTATTTTACAGAATTATTACATAAATACATAAATACGTACGTCGAGATATAGTAATTGCTAGCATATATTCAGCAATTGTCATAAAACGATTGACTTTCCATTGGCGAAGCGTAACAAACAACCACTTTTAATGTTCGTTAAACAACATGCGCTGCAATTGGGCCGCGTGCTTGCAGTCTCCCTCCCCTCTCGCCGGCGCTCGTCGAAAGCTTCATTAAACGCAATTATCTCTGGAACTAAGCGAAGCTCCTTTACGCACAAGTTCTCCAGTTCAGAAGCAGAATTCCAGAATAGGTGAGTCGCTCGGCTCGCGCACTCGGGGATAGTCAGTGGAGTTAACGAGCCACGAGCTCACGAGGCTTTCGCCGTGGCAAAAAGCTCGCGCGAACTTGCGCCAGCGAGCCGCGCGATAATCCACATCGCGCATTGAGCACGAGCACTTACTGATTTTGAGGGCGCGCGCGCGCGCGACAAAGGACGACTCATGCAGTGGCCGCGAATAATGATGTCAGGAGGCGCCGCCGCAGCGTCGGTTTCGGCGTCGGTGCCGCCACCGCCTAATAATCCTAGGCGCGCGCGCACACCGCCGGGGCCAATAATACTACGGCAGGAGGCGAGGGTGGCGAGATGACAGGTCACTACACGGTCATTACGACCCGGTCCTTTGGAGCTCCGGAGTTTCACTACGTGTTAGCGAGGTTTTCGCTCCGCTAGGTCGCTTGTCGGGGAACACTAATGAGACAGCCTCTGTCCCTCCCTCTAGACTGTTGATCTGCTCGTTGTATCGTGACATACAGCCGAGGGTAGGTGCTTTGGAATCCTGTGATCGAAAAATGAGCGACTGCATTCAAAAAGATATTCAATCGCGTGAATTTAATCGTTGTGCAATGCAATTAGCCTGATCGGTAAATTTTAACGATTTATAAACTACTCGCTCAACTCTTACGGCGATTCGGCTGTTACATTGCGTAGAGAGAGAGAGAGAGAGAGAGAGAGAGAGTCTTGGAATTATAAATAATATAGTGTGGCTCATTCTTTTTTTACGTGATAGACGTACGCAATCTGAATAAAATATTTACTATTAATATGATTACACGATTATTGATAGAGAGTTTCGCAGTTTCATTACATTCGATAAATATTCTATTTACGCGTGCTTACTCTACGTTTCATAACGTTTTTCAAAATTTATGACTTTATCCTTTAGATCAAGAGTCACTTAATCTGTCTTATCGATTCTTATATTAAACACACTCCAACTCGTGTTACAATGTTGCTCATATTTATTAATTACCGGTACTGTAATCTATATTCTATTCAGTGTCTTCTCTACTCGGCAAGCAAATCTATTACGCGCTACAAGAATACAAAATAGTTAGGATACATTTTTACGTAATGAAGAAATGGCCATAAGTTATAAATGCACGGACAGACATCCTGATTTAATCCTAATAAAAACAAGTTTTGCTTCCAAAGTGTAATTCAAATTTTTTCAGACTTTAAGGCACCTGTACTTTACGGTCATTCGTTTTAAAAAAAAAAATGAACATTGAAGCAGGGCATTATACGAGGTTTAGGAAAGATAAAACAACTCCGAAGAATTCACGTATCTCGAAAGGGAGAATGTGTTTCCCTTTGGCGCACAATCGCATTGCACCGTAGCAATGAAGATTTTCAGGCCAGTCCCCGTCGTTACGTGACCGTATGCAACCGTCAATTGACTCTCGACAGCCCCTGCGCTCATTTCAACTCAAAAGTCCTTCCCCTCGCCAACCCTAAATGGACCGCGTAATGCGCGTCGGAGGCGCGGGCGGCTGGTCAATATTTTTTCGGCGCGCCGCCCCACTCGGAACCCCGACGTCGCTCGCCCCTATTGGCCGAGGCATCGCGACGCCATCGGACGACGCCGACTTGCCACGCCCAACGACGCTCGTGTTAGTGCGATTCCAGGCTTATTTGCGGTGAGTATGTTACGTGCGTGTTTTCTCTTCGGCATGACACAGAGAAGAGAGAGAGAGAGAGAGAGAGAGAGAGAGACATCCAGATTCACCTGCAATACCTCTACAATTTTAGCCGTTTATTCCGCATATGTTCCGAATATATGAATGTAGAAGAGATTCGACGTTCCCTGAGCTTACATTTGGATTTGAGCTTTGTTTCCCCCCTCAATCCCATGCATTTCAAATAATTTACAAAATGTTCATTATTATATCTATGCATTTTTAATTGAATAAAAAAAATACTTATCTTTCCATTGAAACGCCTGACAATAATTTTGTCGAGAATTCTTATAATTTACGTAATTAAAAAAAAACTAGACTACTACTTACCAACGACCAAAGTGTTTTATTATTATAAAAGAATACAAATTTAAAAGCCGTTCTTGTTCTTATTATTATTACCATTAATAAGATCATAATTACGAATAATTCAATTTAGTATATAGAGTTTAGTATATAAAGTAATATATTCTAATCGTCATTAA